ATGACATCATCTACAAGTCAATATTGGTGATGATTTGGTAGATTGCTAATTATAATACCATTACATAACATTGAGTTATGTGTGATACATCTTCTTCATCTATTGAGCTGTAAGCTCTTTAGCAGTGTGTGCAATGGAAAAGTAGCAAGCTATTCTTCTCAGTTGTTCTGCAATGCCATACAGAGTGTTGGTTATGCTAGGCTGTTGTGGTAATAGAATCTGTCTGAGGTGAGCTAAATTAGGGCATTCCAACATGGTATGAACACAGTTTGTTAGTGATAAATAAGTGAGAGTTCTGTTATAGATTCATCATTCACTTGGCAAATTGTATAGGTATGTTGTTCGATAAGAGTTTAGTGTGTATAAGTGATTGAAGACCACTAGTAGTACAGTATAATGATATAGCCTATTTCATTGCAGCAAATGTGTTAAGATAGAATTACACTGTAAAGTCTGTAAAAGATCTTTTATAAGGGTAAGGACAAGGCCAATCATGACACTCCAAGAAAGAAAATATAAAATATTTATAAGAGTTAATTGTCATTACTGCCATTATAAACAGCTCATTTGGCTGTAGTCCCACCAGCCCATTGGGTGTCTGCTCAAAGGATATTTGCCTATACGCCCTAATGGTCAATCCACACTGATTATTTCCCTTTCTGCTATTCAATTAAGGCTACTTACCTCCCATTCATCACTGTCTGTATATATAATAACATTCTGTTCTTCTTTCCTAAAGAAGTGCAAAGCATGTTGGGTTGAAACAACTTTTATTTCAGGCTATTTGGAATAAAGATAAATATAAAAGATATCTAGTTCTAAATCATTATTAACAAGTAGCAACATTTCATATACATCTGATTTCTCAAAATCAGGAGCAAACAAAAGAGCTTTTCTTTCCAATATTCTCTCATAGAATGGGCAGACTAAGACTCTGATAATTAGATTAATAATGATTGTTCAAATGATGTCATTATTTACCTAGAAATAAAAAAGTTGTAAATTATAAAATGTGAATATATTAGGAACTGAGGAGGTATTATAACATGAATGACAAAGCATGGCGATCCTATTCTATGATAATGTTAGATTGGATGACTGATGTCAGAAAGATATTGCCAGAAAGATACTATGAATGTAGAATACTACATTAGAATGGAGCTGGTTTTGATATTGGGGGAGGTCATGAGAGTGATTGCACTGGTACAAGTAGGGTCTCTTCCTGGGAAACACTGAAAAGCACTGCCATTTTTCTGGACCTTGATGCAAGAGATTTATCTCACTACAGTGTCTTAGAGTATGGAGAATTTCAAAAGTTTGTCAAATAGAAACTGAAGCCAATAGGGGAAATTGAAAATATTTTTGCCAACTTGGATAAACTAACTTAAAAAATGCAATTACTCCCACTGTTGAATACTCTTCAGATATGGGTGCTGACACAGTCTACAAGTACGGTTGCCGTCACAACCACTTTTCTCATGAATGGATGTCACTACTAGAGCTAAATCTATGCAGTGGTGCTAACTCCCAGTGTGTCAGGGACGTCTTTTACTACTTCTGAATCTAAGAAATGACTTCCATAGCTTCTAAGTCTCAGGAACAACTTCAACTGACTCGAATTTCAGAAAGGACGAACAATATCACACCCTATGAACAATATCAAACCCAAAGCAACACCACTGACTGCTTGTGTTTATTCCTCAGTCACTGTTAATTTCTTGACTATGTTCTCTTAATGCAATGCTTCTCAAACTTTTGCCAATGGTGCCCCCCAAAATAGAAGAATTTTGTTTGCGCCCCCTTTAGATAGTTGGGGGCCTAAGGGAGCACTGTAAGCTTCCAAGGTGAGCTCTGCAAGGGCTTTAGGAATGTAATGAAAAAGTAAAGAAACTTAAGTACATTTTCAAGTTATATTTTATATAAATATAGATATATTGTTACGAATCTTTCTATCCAGGCTCTGTGCAAACTGCACCATACACCACCAACTTAAAGAGCTTGACAACTCCGGGCTCCAAAGTAACGTGACACTTTAATAGTTAAATAAATAACAGCCAATACTGTACAATTGGCAACACGTACACTGTACAAATATCTCTTCGATAACACCATACAGCTGTATCAACTCTTGCACTGGCCTCTTCGTCTTGTTTCGGGCTTGCACTGGGTTCAACAGTTCAGGACTGACTTCACACACTAGGCTCGTTGTGTAGGACTTGATCGCAGACCAAGATCAAGACGCCAGTCGTCTCAACTGTACTTGACAGTACTCCGCACTGAACCGTCATAATGCTCCCTACAGAACCACACCGTTGAACTGTGCTGTAGTTGACTGTGTTCTGAACCCCTGTCGTGAACCGACTTGACTGCGACACCTCCGCTCTTTATATAGGGTCCCTAATGGCCTTCTAGAACTGGACGGAACATCGCTCGACGTTTCTAGCTTCATCACATGACTACATCCCTCGTGACTCTCCTGAGCTCTGCTCACAATGCCGATCTTTCCCGAACCGTCATGTTGACACTCGTCTCGGCTGACCGTCGTAACTTGTCACGGTTGACCGCTCGTCTAGCGCTGGCCTGGGGCAATTTGCGTCAGTTGAATACACTCACACCACTACCCTCATTTGTGCCACCACCAGGTTTATAACAATATGTTGCAAATCCAAATTTAGGTATTAACCGTTAAAGCAAAGTCCTTTTTAAAAATAAAATGTTTTGTAGATAATTTTTCACTATTTTGTATATTAAAAAAGGTTCTTCTTGGAAATAGTTTTGGAGAAGCTGTAGGTTCTCCCACATACAGGAATGGAGTCTGATGAAGTGCTGTAAACTCGTCCAGCAAGGGTCAAGTATTCTCCAGCATTTTTAGCATCTGAAGGCACTTTTTCAAGTAGTAATAAGAGCTCAAATAAAAAAAAGGATAGGACAGGCTGATATATCATATTGAAGTGTTTTCTTGCAATAGAGCATACTATTCATTTTCTAAAAAAAGAAAATCAAGATCAAATTAAGTCTAATAAAGAAGGAGGCAGCACTGACCAATCACTTTTATGTGAGAACATTTAAGTTACATATAGTGCACATATTTTTGTAATGTGCATGATCATTGTAAGATCATCTTCGTGTTAAGTAAGATGTTAGGATGTAGACCTTTTTATTTTATGTCACATAAACATTGTCAACATAATGATGTACAACAGTCAGGAGAATTTCGACCATTTAAGTGTTAAGTCAAGAAGAATCCTGCTAGAGGAGACATTTTGAAAAGCCATCTTCAAAAAGATTTGAGTTGATATTGTTGCAGATGGCTCTCAATTTAACAGTATACATTTTAAAAGGTCTTTATTAGAAGATGAAACAACATTTAAAACATTCTAATCTGTTAAACAATTGTAATAATGCCATTTTACTAGGTTAATAATCAAACATGGATTGATAACTTCAATGAAAAAAATGACTGGCTTCACACCCACCCTTTTGTCAGGACTTTATGCCTTCTTTGAGAGGACATCATGCCCCTTTGGGGTGGCAAGCCCAACAGTTTGAGAAACACTGCCTTAATAACTAGGTCCTGCTTCTTTCTAGCCTTCAGGCCACTTGAATGTTCCTCTAAGATTAATTGCATTACTGGGGACTGTTAACAATATTTTTTTCAAATTTTTTTTTTCATTTTTGTTCTCATATTCATAAATACTGTTGTCTTTCCAAAAGTAGAGAAAGTCTAATTTTTTTTCATTTAAAATTTTATCACTCTCTGTAAAATAGATGTTTGTAAAATGAAGAGTATTATAAATTCTCATGTTGCCTGTATGTTTAAGTCACAATGAATGTGACTTATCTTTTCCCAATTAAATGTGATGCAGCTTTTGAAGAAGCTAAAACTCATCAATAAAATGATAATCGGAACTTAAATTAGTTAAAATATAGTATGAACATATACCATAGCTACTTTGAGTACAAAGATTCGATATAATTAAAGTATATTAAAAAAAAAAAAAAACTTTTGATTAAAATGCCTTCTGATTGACACTTCATGTAGCATAATGTACATTTCCAGGAATATTTGTAGATTTCTGCACAGTCATTTTTATATTGTTTATATGACTTTATTATCATAACTGACCCCATTGCAGTTTTAGGTTAATTGTAAAAAAGGAGAAGGGGCTTGTAGGTTTTTATGAAGCACCAAAAAGGTGTTTGGCTTGGTGGTATAAATTGCTTGACTCCTTAATCATAGGGGCTAGAGTTAAATGTCCTGAAGAAAAGATTTTACTTGATTTCAGTGGTGTTTGCTTAGCAGCACCAAAACAACACCATGGAGTTATTTGTTCACAATAGTCCCTATTCAATATGACAATATGCCAACAAAAGATATTGGATCTGAGTGCACTGAGTATGCTATAGTCTATAGTTAAAGTAGAAATGTTATGAGACATTTGACTTAAGTTTTAAAGGTTCTTTTGGAAATGAAGCTTTTCACTTACTATCCCAACTTCTTGTTGGATGGCTGGGATATGACAAATGAAATGGGGAGGATTTGAAATAAGACCATCCTAATATATCATGCAGCCAGACAGTGGTCCAACATTATATTATAATAATCATAAAAATAATGTAGTAATTATAATTACTTTATAATTAATTTCATGTAAATGTGTTTCATGTAAGTTTACCTTGGGATTCAGTTGCTGAAGACATTCAATTAGCATTGGGATCTTTATAGATGCAACACTTCCTGTGCATCCAATTAGTATATGAGGAGCTGGCATCAATTTTTCACTAGCCATTACTTAATTAGTACCTTCTATATCTAGATTATTCTATTTCTACACTGACTATATCTAGTGCTAACTTAGGTGACTAATCTATCTAATGAACTAGTAACTTAGTTTTAGAACATTTATAGTTAAACTAGGCTCTAGCAAGGTATTATTTATATAATTGTATGATAAAACAATTATAGATCGATAACTTTTATAACTCTCTATATAGAATATATATTACAGTTAATGAAGCCTAAGCCTATATTCTATTTCTATAACTATTCTATATCTAGTGCTAATTCATTTGACTAATCTGTCTAATGAACTAGTAACCTAGTTTTAAAACATTTATTTGTAGTTAAATTAGAATCTAGCTAGATATTATTTGTATCATTGTAAGATAAAACGAATATAGATCGATAATTTTTATGACTCTATATATAATCATAACATATAATACAGTTAATGGAGCCTAATTTTAAGCCTATACCTATAAGTATACCTAGAATTAGAATCTAGGTATATAAAAATTATTATAGATGTATTGTATACATTGATTGACTCAAGTCTTTTATCAATCTCATTATAAATATAATTATTTATTAGATCTAGACTAGTCACTAGGTCTATATTACATTGTTTTATTTATATTAATTATATTCTTATTTAAACTTATGACATAAACTTTAATAAAACTTATTATAGCATAATAATATTGATAACTACATTTATTTATTACATTTATTATGATTAGATAATTGATAATTAATGATTATTCGATCATTAATACATACATCATAGACTATAATATAGTCTAGACAGTCTAGTCTCTATATAAGTAATTTCAGACGCCTTGACATATCACGCGAGATCTAGATATCAGACTAAATTAACATCTAAATCTAATCTAGATTTCTATTTGAGTAGTTTATCGACTCTATAAATATCAAGATCTCTAGAGTAAGTCTAGAGGCAGTGGCAATCTAGTGGATAAAAGAACCAACCAAAATATAAACATCACAGACCTATATCATGTCTGTAGTAAACATTTATTAAAGGTAATTCCTGATAACAAATTTATTAATAGGTCATACTCTCTACAATATTTTCAATAGCATTAAAATATAAACTAGGATTTTTAAAACATAAATAGGTTATGTTTGTATAATTTAAAATAAAATTTAGTTAATCTTAGTTTAACGGAATGTAATCTAAACTAAATATCAGAATATATTTAGATTTAAGATAATAAACAACAGATGTAGTAGAGATTTATTTTTATATTATTATAGACATGGCCGACGTGGAAAGCAAAAGTAGTGAAAACATACTTTACGATTTATCAGTGTTATGTGAATGGAAATACGAAAACGAATTATTTGTAAGGAAATGTGTGTGTGTGTGGTTTATGTTGAATATTATATTATATTATTTACCATGAGGCCCGTACAAGACTCTGGCCCCCCAAACACCCTTATAACTTATTATAAGTTAGATTTATTTATTTATAGTATTATTAGTATTATTACTAATACTATTATTTTAAATATTTATTGTTATACTATTAATCTATTTATTATTTAAATTACTATAACTTAAATATGAAATAACTATTATATATGAGTATAATATAAGTATAACTCAGTATAAGTTATATAAGTAACTGTTACTATAGTCTAGTAGTAGAATTACTGTCTATGTCTATAGTCAAGTATAGTCTATAGTAATAGAGTATAGACTAATAGTCTATAGTAATAGAGTATAGTCTATAGTAATAGAGTATAGACTAATAGTCTATAGTAATAGAGTATAGACTAACTATTTAACTAATAGAAAGAAATCTAGGTAAAACTTCAAACTAGATCATATAGGGAGAGCTCCCTCAGACTCCTTGATTTGGAAACCATAGGTCATGATAGGTACTGGCCTCACTGGGCACTGTGCAGTTCATCTCATATATTCATAATATTGGTCTTCTAGTCATCTGAACGTTCCAACATAGAAATATTAAACATATACAAATTAGATTTATTTTGCTTTTAATGCTCACATCAATTCAATAATGTCAATAATATCAAATAGATAGTAATAGATAGAGTTAGATCTAATCTATTTTTTTAAATCTAGATCTATAGTTAATATATTATCTTATATGTAATAAAGATGTTACTTCAAAAAAAAAAGGTAATTAATAATAATAATACTTTTCTGTTAATTCTCTAGTACCAGATGACAGAGCCTCGCTCGTTTGAATAATTTGTTAAGGAAATATATTTACTTTTTTTGGATTGGGTAAAGACTCCCAATTTGAAAAGTTGCTTTCATGTTCTTTTAGTTCTAAATGTCAATGTACATGGCGATTAGAAAATAAAGTCTCTAAAGTCAAAGTCCCCATACAGAACTCGCCTGTATTATAGGCGTGATACAGGAGGCCTTTCAAGTCTGAATCCATTGCTTCACAGAGCTGAGAGAAAAGTCAGGATGCAAGCGGCAGAGATTTGATGAAGTTTACAAATTCAATCACTTGATCCAGAACAGACATCAAATCTTTCGGCAAAGATTTGAAGGCAAGAGCTTCTAAGTGGATCATACAGTGAATAACTAATACATTTGGATTTTCTTGACGCACAAGAGTGACTAATCCCTTTCTATTTCCCTGCATGGAAGGACAGCCATTGGTGCAAATGCTGACACAATTTTTCCACTGTAATTTGAAGAGCAAAATGTTTTCGTTCACCACTTTGAAAATATTTTCACCTTTGGTCGTAGTTGGTAAGTCTTTGCAAAATAAGAATTCGTTGACACATTTTTCATCCTTTATGAACCAAATAAAAGCTAGAAGCTGGGCTTCGCCGCTAACATCAGTGGATTCATCAACTTGAAGAGACCACAGCAGAGACACTTCAACGTCAGTCACGTCAAAGTGTTTGCAGATTTGATCTTCTAAATCTGACGATAAGTCTTCAATTCTGCCCGGGGTAGTATCATTTGACAAAGGAACTTTTTTAACTTTTTCGGTGCAATGACTGATTCGGCCTCTGTGTGTGCTTTCTTGCATTTTGCTAATAACCGAGCAACCTTATAACTTGCTATCAATCCCTTTTCTGGCAGTTTTAGGTAGTTCATAAGTTTCTTAGCTTATTTTGTTGAGCCCTGATGTTTTCAAAGTATTCCTTCGGTTGGGCTTTTACAGCTGGATATTTTGTTTCTAAGTGTCTCCAATTTGCTTGGAACAAGTGCCTCACTGCTTTTTATCATTCATATCAATTTTATCATATAGATCTAATATGATATAATTTGATGTTTTTGACCCCCCAAAAATGTTCGCTGAGCCCTGATGTTTTCAAAGTATTCCTTCGGTTGGGCTTTTACAGCTGGATATTTTGTTTCTAAGTGTCTCCAATTTGCTTGGAACAAGTGCCTCACTGCTTTTTATCATTCATATCAATTTTATCATATAGATCTAATATGATATAATTTGATGTTTTTGACCCCCCAAAAATGTTCGCTCAGTGTTTGTGACCTAATTCATGCCTTGACCGTTGGCACTTGGTCGATCAATATTTAGCCCTTTCCCCTCAATAGTATTCTCACTTAGGCTGCAATGTTTTGTGTTAACCTTATGGCTGTAGTTGGGTTGAGTTTTGAAATTTCCTACCATAATCATCAAAATAAAGGCGTATTTTTTAAAAATACGAAAGGGTGTTCAAGATGTTGCGCCAGCAGGCAGCAGTCGTGTTTTTTCGTCTCTCGTTTTGGAGGATTTTTGTGTTGCTATTTTCTAGAGCTAAATGATCTTTCTTATACCATTAGATTTGTGTAGATTTTGTCTATAGATTGGTGTGTTTAGTTCGATAGATTTAAATCATGTTAATTAAATTTAATTAGTTTTTGTATTCATTTACTATCCTTTAGTTTAACAAGCATCTATATAAACAGTGGCAGAGTGATACTCATAGCCCGAGGGATTGATGTGCTTGGTAAAACCATGTACCGTGGCCACTACATAGCAGTCGCAGCGCAAACCTGTGTGTCATCATTGCTAGTGTGTCAAATCGCCGTACTGGAGTTATGGACGCTAATCTACTACGTCGCATAGGACGCACATGTGTGTTACTCAAATCACGACTAGATAGCGAGGTTTTCCTAAATATTCGTCGGCTTGGCATCGGGCTTAAACTGCCGACAGTTCGTGGGTCTAGGGCTGGGCGTCTTATTCACCTATGGTATAACCCATCGCAATTCAACTCAACAGATACATGTCACACAGTTTCCAGGACTCTTAACTGTGTTGTTAACCCCACCCCTACCCCTGTCATTTCTTCTACAACAGAGTTCAGCAGTTCCCTACTAAACTGTTTTATTAACCACCCCACCCCATTGCTCCTCACACGACAGAGGTCAGATGTCCCCATCAAAAACCTATAATTCGTGATATTACTCCTCCGGTGTCTTCAAAATGTGCTATGCCTCTGGTGACTACATCCTCCAGCCTGCTTTTAAAATAATGCACCTGAACGCCCGGTCATGCAGTAACAAAGCTCTTGAGCTTGCAGACACCATCACTGATGATAGCTACGACATCGTTTTCCTTAGTGAGACATGGTTTAAAGAAGTTGTTGATGAGCCAAGAACCACTGAGCTAACGCCACCAGGCTTTATTTTAAAGAGTCTCCCTCGTAAAACGGGGTCTAGCAATACTGTACAGAGATAGTCTAGCCAAGTATGTAACAATAAGACCTGACAGCTCAACGTACACCACCTTTGAGATGTGCGAGTTTCGCCTTTCCCACCACAGTAGAACACTGACTTTTATTTTCCTGTACCGCCCACCACCAAGCAAGAGAAATAAATTGACAACAAAAGTTTTCATCGAAGAATTTCAAGACCTCCTTGACAGTCACATATCAACAAAAGATCTATTTGTCCTAGGCGATGTGAACTTGCATTTTGACAGTGAAAATGAAACATACGCGATGTCGCTGAAAAATGTGCTAAAGGATCGCAACTTAGACCAACTGATAAATGTTCCGACACACGCCAAAGGCCATACTCTGAACTGGATTGTTACAAATGCAAGTGAGCTTATAGCCAAACTCAATGTCTCAGATCGCGGCTTGTCAGATCATTTTCTTTTACACTTTGAAATGCGCTTATCAAAAGCAAAAAAGCCAAAGAAAAATGTGACTTGCCGTAAACTTTAAGCCATAGATATTGCCTCCTTCAAAATGGACGTGACCTCTTTGCTGTTGCAACACAGACGTTCTCAGCAATTACAATTCTTGCTTGAAAAAGTTGCTGGACAGCCATGCACCTCTTGTCACTCATACAGTCTCAGTTAGGCCATCTGCACCCTGGTTGACGGAAGACATAAAGACTGCCAAACTTATTCGCCGACGTGCCGAACATACATTTCAAAAGACAGGTCTGACGATACATCGACAAATATACATACTAGAAAAAAAACAAGGTTAATCGTATGATTAGAGACGCAAAAGCTAGTCATATTCAACAAAAAATCGAAACTTCTGATTCTTCAAAGGAGCTATTTAGGATCACCCCTGAAATGTTAGGGGAAGCAAATAATGAACGTTTGCCGTCATCTATCCCAGTATCTGAACTTCCTGATTCCTTCAATAGATTCTTCATTGGGAAGATTGAGCAGATTAGAAATGACATGCCATCC